CTAGTTATTATAGATCTAGTGATCTAAATAAATCTAGATCTAGACCTAGAATCTCGTAAAATAAGTGAATAGGAATGGGTCTTGAAAGAGAAATCCGCATCCGATTCCGGACAGAGGGACTCATCTGAGTCTAGATTACTAGATTAGATGTAGATTCTAGATCTTTATATTTCTGTGTAAATAATTCACGCACCTGATGAAATGCGTTTTACCAACATTAATATTACAGCACAACCTATGATAGGGTTTGACACTGCAATACAATTGGAATACGAATCCTCCATTGAGGTCTATAGTGATCTATAAATCTAAATCTAGAGTAGAACAAGTGAGTCGGACTTGAAAGAATCCACATGACCTTAACAATCAGTAAATAAACGAAATTCAAAATGGCCACTCGAGCATGAAACAGAAAGTAGATAATTTAGGTTGTCGTACTTTTTCGTATTCATATTTCTACTCAGGTTCCGACAATTATGTCGGAAACGCCGACGTCGGCAGTCGGCACGAAAACAAAAGTGCTGACAAAGCCGACGGGAGAAAAAGGGGTCGCTGGCAGTCGGCCAGGCCTCGCACTTCGACTAATACAGGTGGGCCTAGCGATAGCATCGGTCGGCTCGCGGGTCGGGTCGCGATTGTCGGATTTCAGACGATTGTCGGCAAACATGCAGGTCTAGTCTCCGGGCGGCTTCCATTTTCTCCTGAAAGAACCCACGACAACTGCCGCCTCATCCTCAACACAAGACAACTGTCGCCTCATCCTCAACACAAGACAACTGTTGCCTCATCCTGCCACAAGACAACCGCCGCCTCATCCTCAACACAAGACAACCGCCGCCTCATCCTCAACACAAGACAACTGCCGCCTCATCCTGCCACAAGACAACGCGCCTGCGCTTCCATGACCACGCAACAAGCCAGTAACATCAACGAGAAATATCATGACAAAACATGGCTGCCGGGCCAGGAACACTGGGCCCTTGTACAAACCTTGTTCTTGTGTGCATTGATGGAAGCGTAACGAACGGTGCCTCGGAAACCTGCGGCCGAGCGGGGCTGTCGCACTTCTCCCGAGGCCGTGGTGTACTGGCGGGCCAGGCCAAAGTCCAACATGTACACATGGCGGTGGTTCGGTTGTCGACCCATGGCAAAATTTGACTGGGGGAAAAAACCAAAACGACAAACATTATCTCAGGTGCACCAAAAAACATTTAAACGTTTTTGTCAGACGTCACTTGCAACACAATAAGGTCATATGAGCGCCGAAGATTAGAGGTGTTACGAGAGAGTCAACAAAACATAAAAAAGACAGAAAATGACCTTATTGTGTTGCAAGCGCCGTAAAACCCTTACTAAAATAATGAAGGAGAGATAAGGACGATAGATGTTTGATAGGAAAGGAGCACCCTCCAACCAGCCACTTCAATCAAAAGCATGGTCCACTGATGACATATTGGACATGACAACGTAATAACTCAGTTCCACCGATGCTGTTTCTAACACTCCTAGACCTGACTACTTAGGGAAAGAACAAAGAGAAGCACCATAGAGGCCAGACATAAGGCACAACATGCAGTACACCAAACAGGGCCCTACTAAAGTCAGCATAAGATTCTACCTAAATATTTCCCAACAAAGGTCAAGTAAGTCTCAAAACCAAACACCATCACCTACCTCAGCAACCACGGACTCCCAGAATGACATTATTATAGCATGAGGGTTCACAGCCATTCCTACAGCTTTGTCGCTAGTCTGGTACATTGCACAATTTTCTATCAGTCGCTAGTCTGGTACATTGCACAATTTTCTATCAGTCGCTAGTCTGGTACATTGCACAATTTTCTATAAGTCGCTAGTCTGGTACAATGCACAATTTTCTATCAGTCGCTAGTCTGGTACATTGCACAATTTTCTATCAGTCGCTAGTCTGGTACATTGCACAATTTTCTATAAGTCGCTAGTCTGGTACAATGCACAATTTTCTATCAGTCGCTAGTCTGGTACATTGCACAATTTTCTATCAGTCGCTAGTCTGGTACATTGCACAATTTTCTATCAGTCGCTAGTCTGGTACAATGCACAATTTTCTATCAGTCGCTAGTCTGGTACAATGCACAATTTTCTATCAGTCGCTAGTCTGGTACAATGCACAATTTTCTATCAGTCGCTAGTCTGGTACATTGCACAATTTTCTACCACCCAATGAGGGCTCACAGAGACATCTTATAGAAAATATTCCCACAAAACTCTCACAAATATCAGAGTCTCAGAACTAATCCCCATAACATACCGGTTTGATATCTCTGTGCAGAAATCCCACATCGTGTATGGCCTCTATGGCCCGCAGTATCTGAGACGCCAGGCGGAGTGTGGTGCTCAGGGAAAAACATCCTCTGGTCTGGCTGCGGCGTAGTTCTGCCAGGTTTTTCCCTTGCAGGGACATGACCACATAGTTGTAGCGCTCGTTGCGGCCACAGCCGATGAAGCGACACACGTGGTCTCGTCCTGTGAGCAAACAACAGCCACCTTCACACATCTCCACACAACAACTTCTTCTCCACTACCCACAGCAAGGGGAACAGACAAACAACTTCCTCTCCACTACCCACAGCAAGGGGAACAGACAA